CCTTGTTGACCCTGAGGGGTTTATCTAATCTGGATTCCCATTGCTGAAGGCTCCTACCTGTAATAGTGTGCATGCTCTGGTCTAATCTAATTTGTAAGGTAGAATTGAGGTCATAGTGGGGTGAAGGAAGCACCAAAGAGCTAGAGGAATGTTGTGTGTTTCATTGGTGCTATACTGCACCCTAACTGGCCCATCTCTTCCCTATGACCCTCTGTGAGGGGATGTCCCATTGTCTACAGATGGGCATTAGGTCTCCACTCCATGCCCCCACCCCCCGCCATTCACCTTGTGTATGGTTTTATTCTGGGTCTTAGATGCCTGATATCTGATCCCATCAATACCTCATGATCACATAGGCTGGTGTTCTTCTTTGGGATTTGTTGCTTCTCAGCTAGATGGCTGCTTGTTTATCTGCAAACCTTTAAGACCCCAGACGCTATATCTTTTGATAGCCAGGCACCGTCAGCTTTCTTCACCACATTTGCTTTGTCTTCAGCGATCGTGTTGGGAAGATGAGCACCACAGAATGCTGGATTGTTAAAACAAAGTTTTCTTGTGTTAAGGGAGCACTTGAGTTGAGACCCAATGTCCATCTGCAACCTTAATTTTTAACATATAGATTTGAGTACATAGTTCTATTCCCCTCTCATTATATATATGTACATGCCTACATTTAGGCCCCTATAAATGTCCCTGGCCTCCTGGTTCTTTCCTCTATTTCCTTTTTAGTCCCCTCTTGTCCCACCATCATTGTGGGCCTTCATTCAGGTTTAGAAATTCCTAGCTGCTACATTTCCCTTGATTGAGCCCCACTAGGCATCTTACAATCTTCCTTCCATTTATTTTTAGTTCACTTGTTGTTCCCTTGTCCCTGGGTTGGTACCCACCCCTTCCTTTCTCCCACCACCCCTTTCCCCGTATCCCCCCGGAACCATTGGTCCCATTCTTTTCATTTCCAAATTGTTTATCCCGCTTGTCTTATCTAGATAGACATGCAACTACATTAATAAGTGCAAAAGACAGGCAAAGGCAAATAAAACAACAAAGGAAGTCAAACCAACAAAACAATAACACCAGCAGAAAACAAGAACCAAAGAACAATAATAAAAAGAAAACCACTGACAAAAATGGAAAAGCCTATAAATAGTTGAAGGCCTGTTTGTTGACTTTTATGAGTGTTTTCCAATCAAGTCTGATGGGGTGCTACACTCTGTCTCCAAAGTCTATTTTTTGGTATTCCCCGGGAGGGTTCATCACTCTGCTCCTCCTGCTGCTCTGCTGTATGCCCTCAGTGCCTCGCCCCAGCGTGATGGGGCCAGACCGTGCACTTTTGCTGCACAGTGTCTCCAGGGCTGTCCCCCACAGCATCAGGGTTCAGTGAGGGACGCCTTGTCCCATGGTGGGGCCAGCCCGACAGCTTCCCCGTGCATTGTCTGCTCCTAATAGGAACATCATCCTCAGGGCTTGGTGGGCCAGGATGTCCTCTCCTCCCTTTCCATTCACTTGTGTTTTTCCTGTGTGCTCTAATGAGATGCACCCTTCTCCCCAAGCTTAGCCCAGTGCTGTCCCATGAAGTGCATTCTTCTGAAGGGTGGGGATTGTCCACATAGTCAGGATTGGGGCTGGCCCCACAGACCTCTCTATTGGTTCCCTGGTACATGCCAGTATGTTGTATTCACATCTTGGATCATCGGGTTAAATCCCGGTCTCTCTCCTTCTCCTGTGGAGATATAAACAATACTCTCCCCTTGGGTGCATTAGTGCCTGGATTGGGTTTGGCCCCTGCCATAGTTGCTGGACCTCACCCCGAGGATGTATGTATATAGTAGCTTTTCCAAGAGAATATTCTTGTTTTTAGAATATCCCCATTGAAGTGTTTAAGGGTAAAGGGGAATTATGTCTGAATTTTACTTTCAAACAATTTATAAGGATTTATACATGTATATGTACGTATGTAGGTGCCCTGGTGATGTGATGTGATCTGGTAAGCACTGGACTGTTAACCATAGGTCATCCATTCAAACCACCAGCTACTCTGCATGAGAAATATGAAGTTGTCTGCTCCCATGAAGATTTACAGCCGTGGAAACCTAGGGTTTCTGTGAGTAGGGACCATTTTGATGGAAGTGGGATTTGGATAGGTATGTAAATATAACCAAACACATATACTGTGATAAGTGACTGGCTGCAGACATGTTCTTCTTTAATCTTGTTACCAGGTGCCATCGAGTCATTTCTGACTCTTAGAAACCTTATGCAACAGAAAGAAAAACTGCTCAGTCCAGCGCCATTCTCACAATTTTTATGTTTGAGCCCATTGTGATAGACACGATATCAATCCCTCCCATTGAGAGTCTTCCAGTTTTACACTGACCCTCTTCTTTACCAAGCAGGATGTCCTTTTCCAGGGACTGGCCTCTCCTGACATGTCAAAAGTATGTAAGACAAGTCTTGCCATTCCTGCTTCTAAGTAACATTGTGGTTGTACTTCCTCCAAGACAGGTATGTTAGTTCTTTTAGTTGTCCACCTTACTTTCATTATTCTTTTCCAACATTATGATTCAAATGCATCGGTGTATTAGTCTGGGTAGACTAGAGAAACAAATTCATAGACAGTCATATGTATATAGGAAAGAGCTTTATGGAGAGTAATTGTACATTAAGAAAACATCCCAGCCCAGTCCATATCAAGTCCACAAGTCTGATATTAGTCCATATGTCCGGTACCCATCTGTAACTTCCTCTTCAGACTTACACAACACATGCAATGACTCAGAATGCAGGACGATCACAGACCGGTGTGTGGAAAGTCTTGTGTATCCAGTGGCAGTAGAAGCATCTCAGTGCTAGCATGGGTTTCTATGTGGCTCTTCCAGCTGATGCATCTTCCAGGGTTCTGGCTGCATCAGCGCAGTTCCACCAGGCTCGTCGTCAGTAATGTGTCACAGTAAATGAGCATGTGTCCCGCCTCCAGTAAGCTATTTATCTCCTTAGTGCCTCCAAATAAGGTAATCAAGCTGTGACCTGATTGACAGGCTAACTCCACCCTTTCATTCTTCAGTCTCAAAATGACAACAGATTATGTAACTACCACACTCAGTTCTCCTGTGGTCTTCCTTATTCCTTGACCAATTTTAACATGCATATGAGGTGATTAAAAATACCATTGATTGGTTCAGGTAAACCTGACTCTTATTAGGGTACTTTCAACAATAGGTCCAATCAATACAATGGTCCAAGAATAAGAAATAATAAAATCCAAGCCTGGAGGAGGGAATGGGAATTCTGAGCACCCAGTTTGCAGAAGGATATGGATGATATTTTCTGGGTCCCCATATGGATTAAGCCTCTGATGAGTCCCCACTGATAATTTCCCAGGGATGTAAAAGTGGACTAATGTCAATGTAGTTAGGTTAAAATTTAACAGCTTATCATTTTAAAACCAAAAAGAAAGAACACTCTCACAATATCCTAACGTGAAAGAACTCAAGAAAAAATTCAAGCCTTGAGTTGCCATCTTGAAAGATCATATGGGCAAAATATTGAATGATACAAAAGAAGATGGAAAGAATACACAGAGTCACTGTGTTAACATTTCACCATTTCAGGAGGTAGCATATGATCAAGAACCAATGGTGTTGAAGAAAGAAGTTCAAGTTACATGGAAAGCATTAGTCAAAATCAAGGTTCCAGTAATTGATGAAATACTAGTTGAAATGTTTCAATAAGCTGATAAAGCACTGGAAACACTCACTGGTCTATCTATGCCAGGAAATTGGAAGACAGGCACTTTGTCAATTGGCAGGAAGAGATCTATATTTGTACTCATTCCAAAGAAAAGTGATCCAACAGAATGTTCGAATTATAAAGCCATATCACTAGTGTCACATGCCAGTAAAATTTTGCTTAAGATCATCCAGCAACAATTGCAGCAGTACATTGACAGGGTTCAGTTTATATTCAGAACATGACGTGGAACAAGAGATATCATTGCTGATGTCTGATGGATCTTGGCTGAAAGCAGAGAACACCAGAAGGATATTTACTTGTGTTTTATTGACTATGCATTCGGCTGTGTGGTTCATGACAAGCTCTGGATAGCCTTGAGAAGAACGGGTATTCCAGAACATTTCTTTGTGTTCATGAGGAACTTGTATACGGATGGTGAAATTGACCAGTGTCGGCAGTTCAGGTCTTGTGTCTGATTTCAGATTGTGGCTGAGACTGGTCTGGTCGATTTCTCTAGGAGGTTCTATCGGGTGGCCACATCCTCACACACACCCCACTCCCACACTCTTCTGATGATGGTTTTTCATGTGCATAAGTGTTTTCTTTTTAATAGGTCCCAGTCAATTGTTCTGCCTTCCACGGAATGTGCTTTCTTTATTTTATCAGGTAGTCTGTGTATGCCCTGCAATAGAGCCATAAGTGTTTCCAAATTTTCTCATTGATAGGTCTGGTGTTTACATGTAGGACTCTGATCCACCTTGTATTAGTTTTTGTGCATGGGGTGAGGAATGGGTTTTGTGTCAATCTGCTGCAGATGGACATCTAATTTTTCCAGTACCATTTGTTGAAGAGGGCCCCTCTTTCCCATTTAATTTTTTTGTTGTTGCCTTTTGTCAAAAATTAGTTGCTTGTAGGTGGATGATTTTATTTCTGGGTTTTCTATCTGGCTCCATTGGTCTATGAATCTATCATTATACCATTACCAGGCTGTTTTGACAACTGTGGCTGTGTAGGAGGTTTTGAGGTCAGGTTGGGCAAAACTTTCTACTTCGTTGTTCTTTTTTAGAAATTATTTTCTTATCCTGGGCCTCTTCCCTTTCCATATGAACTTGGTAATTAATTTTTCCATTTTTAAAAAAAGAATGATGTTGGGATTGTGTTGTTGTATTGGTAGATTGCAGCTTGCATTTACAATTTTTTTAATTGTGTTTTATAAAAAGCAACCTCAACCTAGAAGGGTAATAGAAGATTCTGAATTCCTGTTTACTTTTTTATGAGATGCTTTCTCTTTGTCTTAGAGTCCAAGTTTTGTCATCATCTTTAACCACACCAACCCAGTTCCATCCTTGAGGAACTTTCCCTTTGTTACCTGTTTTATCTGTCAATTTACATTTCTGGGCTGTTGAAAGTTGTTCTTTATTGTCTTTTTTCTTACATGGTGGGGTGGAATTAGGAGTTTCAACTGAGATGATATTGTTCATGGATGTCGTAGAATGAATGGGATGGTGATTCTCCATGAACTGTTTCTCATGTTCCTTGGCATATTCAAATAATGTATAGGTCATAGACGTTCCAAGATTAACTTCAATTGCTTCTTATAACATGGCTAATATACCCTGCTTTATAGCTAATGATATGGTACTGTTAAAAAATGCATTCATAGATATAATCAGAACTGTTTGGGGATATGTTTCTGTCCAGAACATCTCTATTAAGAAGGCTTTTCTCCCACATGGAGGAAGCACACAAGCTGGTGTGATCAAGAAGTGTCATCGGGGCCAGGTAACAGGCATCAGAAGATTCATAACAAACAAACAAACAAACAAAACAAAAATGCATTGGTGAGAATGAGGGAGGTCATAGGGGAGCCTCAAAGCCCATCTGTAGACAAGGGAACATCCCCCTACAGAAGGGTCCCACGGAAGGGATGAGTCAATCAGGGTGTAGTAGAGCACCAATGGATCATGCAATATAACTCTGGTTCCTTGAGGCTTCCTCACCCCCTCTATCATGACCCTAGTGCTGATTCCCACTCTGGACTGGAATGGAGCATGTACATAGGTGTAGGCGAGAGATAAAGCTCACGACACACGGAACTCAGGAACAGGAATGTGAATTGCAATACCAAAAGGGTAGGGGGAAATGGGGAGGAGTGGAAGGGGGTACGGATCACAATGAATGGCACATAACCACACATTCCCCTCCAGGGGGAAGAACAACAGAAACCAGAGGGGAAGGGAGACAGCTGTTGGTGTGAGATATGAAAATAATAACAACCTATAATCTATCAAGGGGACACGAGGGTGAGGTGGAGGAGTGAGGGAAAAAAGAGGGCTGATCCCAAGGGCTGAATAGAAAATAAATGTCTAGAAATGAACAATGGCAATATATGTACAAATATGTCTGATAAAATCGATGCATGGATTGTAACAAGAGTTGTAGAGTCCCCAATAAAAAGGTCTTTTTTTAAAAAAAGAAAGGCTTTTCTCTTATCCTATATTGAAATGAAACGGGACTTAATTCCCAGAAATTTTAATCTCCTTTGTAAACAGAGCCCAAGAGTTCTTGTTCTATCTCCTGTCCCTCATGGCACCACATTGAGCTAACTCTGGGGCGTTTCCTTGTGGACACTATGTGCCACAACTAAGAGAAAGCAAGGGCAGTGATTTGGACGCTGTGACTTGTCCTTGCATGTTCTCAGTTGCAAACACATCATTCATTCACACACACAGGTGGGTGTCACACATACCCCTCTGTCTTCTTTTGTTGCTTCCTGCATTGTTCAATATTTTATCCATAGAATCTTTAAATATTGAAATTTGAGGCTTGAATTTTTTTCTCAAGTTCTTTCAGTTTAAGGTGAGCTGAGCATATTCTTCTTTTTGGTTTTCTAGCTGTAGTTCTCAGATACTCTTATGATTAAGAGCAAGTTTCAATCCATGCTGATCTTTTCTTTATTTCCTGTCTTTTAAATGAATTTTGCTTCTTCATATATAAAGTCTTTTATGTCATCCCACAGCTCATCAGTCATGAGTGTTCAATGCATCAAATCTATTCTTGAGATGTTCTCTAAATTCAGGTGGGATATATTCAAGGTTTTACCTTGGCTCTAGTGAACTTGTTTGAATTTTCTTCAGCATCAACCTTAACTTTCATTTAAGTAATTACTGGTATGTTCCACAGTCAGCCTCTGACCTCATTTTAGTGGCTGATTTTGAGCTTCTCCATCATCTCTTCCTACAGATGTAGTCGATTTTATTTTTGTGTATTCGAACTGGAGAAATCCATGAAAAGGATCACCATTTGGATTGTTGAAATAAGTTGTTATATAGAAGTTATTGGTCATGCAAAATCTATCATTTAATCTCCAGTTTGTTCCTATCACAATGATCATATTTTTTCCAACTATTGTTCCTTCTTCTTTGTTCCCAACTTTTGCATTAAATTCACCAATAATTTTCAATGCATTTTGATTATATGTTTGATAAATTTCCAACTGTGAAAAAATTCTTCAATGTCTGCATCACTAGCTCTAGTGGTTAGTGCTTAAATTTTAACAATTGTTGTGTTAGTCTGGGTTGACTAGAGAAACAAAATCAGAGACACTCGTATTTGTGTAAGAGAGAACTGTATATCAAAGAGCAATATACATTTTTAAAAAACACCCCAGCACAGTTCAGATCAAGTCCATGAGTTCAATATTAGTCTTTAAGTTCAATATTAGCCCATGAATTCCTCTTGAGATTCATGCTACACATGCTACACATGCAATGATACTGAATGCAGGAAGATTACTAGCCAGTGGTGGATCAAATGGTGGTGGGAGCATCTCAGGCCTGGTGCGGGTCCCCACATGGGTCCTCCAGCTCAAGCCTCTGCCTGTCAGCAGGGTTCCATGTGGCTTGTCAACAGAAATGCTAAGTAGAGAGGCATCAATGCAGATCTCTTTTAATCAGCTGGCCAGGTAGCTAGCTGTCTTCCTAATTTTTTGGCATAGATATGTGAGCATTTTAATCGCTGCACTTGTTTGTTGAAACAGTGGTATCCCATGAATCCCTGGAGCTTTATTTATTTATTTATTTATTTATTTTGCCAACATAGCTTGGACTTCATTCTTCACACCATTGGTTCTTGATAATATGTTACCTTGTGAAACGGTTGAATATTGACCACTTCAGTTTGGTACAATGACCCTCTTTCCTTCTCTGCACATAATTGTAATTATCCTTGTAGTATCCCCTTAACTTGGAAAAGATATAATGATAGAAAACTAAAAACCAAACTCACTGCCATTGAGTCTATTCCAACCTACAGAGACCGTACAGGACAGAGTCGAATTCCCCTGTGGGGTTCTGAGACTGCAGCTCGTTATGTGGGTAGAAAGTCTCATCTTTCTCCCACAGAACCTCTGGGGGTTTTGATCTGCTGACCTATTGGGCAGCAGCACAATGTGCAACAACTACACTACCAGAGCTAATTCAATAGTATTTCTCAGATTAATTCTTGTTTGGGTACTACATACTTTTTCTAAGCCAATTTATTCCCTAACCTCCCTCGCCTTAGAGTAGTAATGCCAGACAGTGATGCTTCATGCCAATCTGAAGGAACCTCCTCTCTTCATTTGCACACTCGGTCAAACTTACGTAGTGACTTCTGGAGTTTTCAGGATGTGCTCAACATGTGTATCTGCACAAACTTCCTTTATTTCTCTATGCGATTCTCATTCTCTTGGTGAGATGGACAGCTGCTACTGCTGTCACCATGTGCAGAAGAACACTGCTAAAGCTACCCCCTTGATGGTATTCTCTGAGGTCTTTATTAAACCTGGCCCCAGGAATTGCCAACCTCTGTCACTGTATCTCTCTGTCATCTGAGCCCCACAGCAGCTGTGCTTGCATCCTCAATCTCACAGGGCCCCCCTTTAGCCTTTGCATACCATGTGAACAATGTTGCCCCACCAGGGACCACTACGCAATACAAAAACCACTCCATTACACTCTTTCATGCAGTTTTTGTTCTAAGCATTCATGCACACACACATAAAATATTTAAAGCCCAACTTACTGCCATCAAGTCAATTCTGACTCATCACAGCTCTACATGACAGCTAGAACAGCCCTGGTGGGTTTCTGAGACTGCAATCTTTACAGGGGTAAAAAGGCTCATCTTTATCCTGCACGGTGGCTGGAGGTTTCAAACTACTACCCCAGTGGCTGGCGCGCGCGCACAGACACACACACACACACACACACACACACACACACACACTTCTTACCGCTTCTTCTCTTGCTTAAAGAATGCCGATTCTGGAGCCTAAACCCAGAATTCCATCACATGGGTCTGACTTCCAATTTAAGCCTCAGATGAAAATTCTCTATGTGATTTGGAAACTACTAGCTCTTACCTGTGTGAATCATTGTTTTTTCAATCTTCAGACTGCTCATGGGATGAGCATTTAGGAGCATGGCAACACTGCACAGATGGTCCATGTCTAGATAGTCCATGAAGTAGAACTTCCTTGAGAAGACCTGAGATGGACCGAAAAGAACTGGTGATTCAGGTGTGTGTGTGTGTGTGTGTGTGTGTGTGTGTGTGATTCAGAGGTGTGTGTGTGTGTGTGTGATTCAGAGGTGTGTGTGTGTGTGTTAAAGAACTAGTGTACTAAGAGATCTGTATTGATGTCAATTCCAAAGAAATGTGCTCCAACAGAATGTAGTTATTGATCAGTATTGTTAGTATCAGAAATCCTGAAAATCCACTGCCATTGATTCAGTTCCTGCTCATAGAGACTTCGGACAGTAGAGCTGCTCCTTAGGTCTTCTGAAGCTGTTAACCTTTACAGGACTGGGCAGGTTCATCTTTTCTGGTTAGCAGTCCAATGTTTAGTCCACAGTGCCACTAGGGCTCCTTCATTTATATCATAAACATATAAAATTTTGCTGAAGATTGTTGAAAAATGGTTGCAGTAGTTCATCAACAGAGAACTACCCGAAATTCAAACTGGATTCAAAAAGTGACAGAATCAGGCATACAACTTGGCTGAAGAGACTATGAGAAATATGTTTACCTGTGTTCTATTGACTACGCGAAGGCTTTGACTGTGTGGATTATAACAAAGTGCCAAGAACGGGAATTCCAGGATACTTGATTGTGCTCCTGTTCAAGCATACAAGAGGCAGTTGTTCCAATAGAACATAGGAACACTGTGTTTTTTAAAATCAGGACAAGTGTTTCAAAGTTGTATCCTTTCACCATGCTGATTCAGTCTGTGTGCTGCTGCTGCGGTTAGGTGTCCAATCCACAGCAGTCCTGTATACAACAGAATGGAACCCACTTGTCCCCATGTCATCCTCATAATCATTGCTTTGTTTGAGTTCATTGGTACAGCTAATGTGTCAATCCAGCTCACTGAGGGTCTTCCACTTTTACTGATCCTCTACTTTACCAAGCAGGATGTTCCATGGGGACTGGTCGCTCTTAATAACATGTCCAAAGTGCATAAGACAAAGTTTTGTCATTCTCCACTCTCATTTCTAAGGATCATTTCTGCTGCACTTCATCCAAGGCAGATTTGTTCATTTTTCTGAAAGTCCACAATATATTCAATATTCTTTATCAACCCCATCATTAAAATACATCCGTTCTTCTCTGGTCTTCTTTCTTCTTTATCCAGGTTGTGCTGGATTTTGAGACAATTGGAAGTAACATGGCAGGTTAAGGTTTCCCTTCGTCCTCAAAGCGACATTTTTTGCTCTTTTGGAGAAAAGAAAGTTAAGAAAGTCTTTTGGAGCACATTTATGGCAGCAATACTTAATTTGATTTCACTGCTCCATCCATAGGTATTGCTTATGGATTCAAGGAAAATGAAATCCTTGACAACTTCAATATTTTCTCCATTTATCCTGATGTTGTTTATTGACCCAGTTGTGACGAATTTTTGTTTTCTTTACATTGCAGTGTAATCCATACTGAAAGCCTTTGATCGCCACTAGGACATGCTCTAAGGCCTCTGAACTTTCAGCAAGTCGGTTCGTGTTAGCTGCATATGGCAGGCTATGAAAGAGTCTTCCTTTAACTTTGATCTGCATTCTTCTCCATATAGTACAGATCATTTGCTCAGAATTCATATTGAATAAGCATGGTGGAAGGATAGATCCTTGGCACACACCTTTCTTAGTTTTAACCCCCTTTGGTCTGTTTGAATGTCTGCCTCTTGGTCTATGTATAAGTCCACACAAGTATAATTAAGCTCTGGAAACCCCATTCTTCAAAATGTTATCCATAGTTTGTCTTGAAATATACTGTCAAAGGTCTTTGTATAATCAATAAACCACAAATAATCATTTTTCTGGTAGTCTCTGGTTTCACTCCAGATCCATCTGACATGAGCAATAATGTGTCTTGTTATTTAGCCTCTTCTAAATCTGACTTGAATTTCTGGTGGTTCCTTACCAATGTAATGCTTTGACCATTTAAAATTATTGTCATCAAAATTGTACTTACATGATGTGATATTGACATTGTTCAATAATTTCTACATTCTATTGGACAATCTTTCTTTGGAATGAGCACCAATATGTATCTCTCACAGACAACTGCCTTTCAAATTTTTTGACAAAGTCTAATGAATGCTTCCAGAATTTCATGTTTATTGAAACATTTCCATTAGTATTACATCAACTCCCCATCCCCACCCCCACCTCAACTTTTTTTTTTTTGCCAATGCTGTAAGTGCAGTCTGGACTTCTTCCTTCAATGCACCATTGGGCCTTTAAAATGTATTTATTTCATTCTTATTTTTAAGAGAATGTTTACACAGGGAAAGGGGAAGACAAACACAAATTATCCAGATGGGGTAGACTATGGCACGGGACCATAGAGTGGCCAAGTGTTTTTTGATAAACAAAACTTTAGAAAGAACATGGGAGGTCAAGGAAAACTGTCACACATGCACGGTGTGTGGCATTTCAAAACATCTTAGATACAGGTGGATTTCTGGATTGGGAATGGGGCCATGATTGGGATACATATATGCTTGTGGTAGACAGAGGAGATTATGAGGTTGGTTCAGGGACCTCCCCAAGGCAGACAGGAAATTACTCCTGTCTATGTAAACCCCTCACAAGGCTACCTCTATCAAGGATACACTCAGGCAAGCTCCAAAGGGAGACTGCTCCTCTTAAGCTTATCAGGTGGGTGGAGGTAATACCATCAGTTCTTTTTTTTAACACATTTTTATTGGCACTGCATTTACATGTCATAGAACTCAATAATCCAGTCATATCTAGAGGAGTTGTACAATCATTGCCACAGTCAATTGGTTCTCGATTATGTATCACCTTCTGAAGTGATTGAACACTGACCACTTTTTTTACTTTTTTTTTTTTGGTGTGATGACTGTGAACTCATTCCCTCTTCTTTTAATGTTTCCTGCATTGTTTAATATTTTGCCTATTGAATCTTTCACTATTAAAAATCAAGGTTTGAACTTTTTCTTCACTTTCTTTAGCTTGAATAATTCTGAGTGTGTACTGAGTGTAATTCTGAGTGTTTTGGTTTTCTAAATCCAGGTTTTTAAAAATCATTTTATTGAGGGCTCATACAACTGTTATTGCAATTCATACATCCATCCATTGTGCCAAGCACATCTGTACATTTGTTGCCGTCATCATTCTCAAAGCATACTTGAACCCTTGGTATCAGCTCATTTTTACCTCTCCCTCCCCACCGCCCCCCTCAAGAACCCTTGATGATTTATAAATTATTTTGTCATGTCTTACACTGTCGGACATCTCCTTTCACCCACTTTTCTGTTGTCCATCCCCCAGGGAGGGGGGTTATATGTAGATCCTTGTAATCGGTTCCCCCTTTGTACCCCTCCTTCCCTCCACCCTCCTGGTATCACCACTCTCACCACTGACCCTGAAGGGTTCATCTGTCCTGGCTAAATCCAGACTTTTCTACAATTCATTATATATGGTACTTTGTCTTCATGGGCTGCCCTTTGAAAATTCATGTTCACTTCTTTTAGTTCGTCATTTCTCCCAGTTGCTTTAGATTTTCTACTCTTAGAGCTAGTTTCAGGATCTTTTCTGACATTGACTTTAGTTTTCTCTTTCCTGCTTTAAGTGACCTTTTGCTTTCTTGATGTATGGTATTCTTGATGTCATCCCAGAACTCATCTGATCTTACCAAGAAGGTGGCATCAGGATTGGAGGGAGACTGGTGAACAACCCACAGCATTCAAATGATACACCATGCTGACTTAAAGTCAAGAGCCTTTGAGACAGTCATTGAGAAGATCAAAGACTACAGCTTGTAGTATGGATTGTAACCACATAAAGTTAAAGCAATCTTTTCTCCATTTATCATGTTGCTTACTGGTCCTCACACATAGCCAAGTAAGCAACAACATGATAAGCAGAGAAAATATTGACATCAATTATTTCATTTTACTTGCATCCACAATCAATGAAAGTTTTCAAAAGCAAAGATGTCCCTTTGAGGATGTGCATTATCCCAGCTTATAGATCTCACCTTCCTTCTGTTTAGTGCCCCTCCCACTGCCCTCTAAGGCTTGGTGATTGTCACAGCCACCACCCGCCCTTCCTTGATAGCCCAGGGTTAGCACCTTTCTGAGCTGTTTCCTTCAACCCACCCACACCATTGTAAAAGTTACTAACTCTCCTCAATCACTCAATTTACATGTTGCATCTATGCCTTACAAAGATTGGGAGCCATTATGTCTGGGAGAAAACTGCCTTTATTCTCAAACATTAAAATGAATACCATAACAATTGTCTTTCCATTTTCAATATTTTATTGAAGAAAAGGACTAGCATCTTTCTTTCCTTAAACAAAGCAAAACAAAATATTTTTATGTGAGATATCTGATGCAGCTGTAGGTTGGCACCTACGACAGAAGTGATATGGTAATATTACCAAGTATTGCCAAATCTGCTTCCCAACTCCTTTTTCCTATAGTACACAAGTTTAAGCTCCTAAATGGACTTTCCTATTTGTCCTTAAATAGTATTCCTCTCGCCACCTCCACTCCTGGAGTGTTTTCATGCTGCCTTGTAGTTCAGACACTATCCACCATGGGCTAAAATGAAGCCCAACTTCCTACCACTGTTGTGAACTTAGGTGCAGGCGCTATTTCTTCAAATGCTCCAAATTAAAATCTTTCCTACCTCTGAGAACTGAGGACAGAAATTATATGGTTAACTAATACAAGTCATTGTGTAGTCTCAACGTATACCTCCCTGCCCTCCCCGGTCCCCCGCCCCCGTGTGTGTGTGTGTGTGTGTGTGTGTGTGTGGTGTACTCTGAAAATAGGTTCCCCAATCCCAAACTCATTGCCATCAAGTTGATTCAAACTCTTAAGGTCCTAGAAGACAGTCTGAGACTACAATTTTGCAGGAGCAGAAGCCTCATCTTTCTCCCAGAACAGCTGGTGAGTTTGAATTGCTGACTCTGAGGTTAGTAGTCCAATCAGAGATCATAAAAGGTGTGGCTAACACTTAACCCACTACACCACCAGCGCTCCTTAAGAGTGTGCACCAAACCCAACCCACAGCCATGCAGTCAACAAGGCTGTAAATCTTCATCAAAGGAAACAGCCTCATCTTTTTCCCCCTCAGGAGCTTCTAAAAACCTCACTGCCATTGAGTCAACGCTCACCCATAGCGATCCCCCATGGATTTCCGACAATAATTGTTAACGGGAGTAGAAAGGCCAGTGTTTCTCCCACTGAGCTGCACTGCCAACCCTGTGGTCGCAGCCCACCGCGTTAGACCGGAACCTAGTGGGTTTGAACCGACACCTTTACCCGACAGCGTCACCAGCGCACCTTGTCGCTCCTGAAGTATGTGGTGCTTTATAGGAATTATCACCTTTCCCAAATGTTATTTTTTCTCTTTAGTTCATGTACGCATTTACATTTATAGGGCTCGACATATTTTAATTTTTGTAACAGCTTCACTAGCGAGGTATTTTTTCACCAGAAGTGAGGATTCTAGCCAAAGTCACACAGCTAGTCAGTAGCTTACATGTTTATTACCATTTAATTTGCAGAGGAGTCAAGTTTGGCACAGTTCGTGGTGAAAGTCGGTTCTGATCACACCGCGTAACCCTGCGCAAGCGCCTTAGGGGCTTCCCCCAGGAAGCGCGAGCGTCACCGTGAGGGGCGGGGTTACGGCTGACGAGCAGGCGCATGCGCCTTGACAACCCTCGCTGGGTTCTCCCGCTGCTGGAGGCGGGGCGTCTTTCCTTATGGGCCAAGTTACTTCGAGGTCAGTGTCCGCGCAGCCTGAGTGAATGTCCAGCGAGTGGTGTCTTGACGGGTGTCTTGGTCTCCCCGAGTGGGCGCGGACCCTGTTCCGGGCTCCCCGGCTGTGGCTGCCACATTTGTGTCCCGTTCGGGTGGGCGGATGCGAGCAGCCCTCAGGCGCCGCGTGACTTCCGCTTGACTCCCTGGCGGCCGGAAGTGACGCCGCGGAGCGCCCTTGCACTTGGGTCGGCTGTGCGCTGGATTGCTTATTGACTTGAAGCTTTTGCCCCCTTAAATCAGGATCTCTGACTTTGTCTGAGTTCCCGGGGCTCAGGGCCACCTCGGGCCTGTTTGATAGCGATTGGAATTCTACCGTGAGTTGTTTGTAAAAGAACCGGTAAGTACCTATCACGTTGGCGTATGTGAAGGAGTGAGCCATTCACGGTAAATGCTGTTGCTCGCATTCGGTTCCGAGGTGCTGTCACTTTTTAACCTGAAGGTCTATCACCGCCTCCTGATTAGTTTTACTCTAACTGATCTTTTACCGCATCACTCTGTCATGACTTCATCACCCAGCGTGAAACCCTCCATTGCACTTGGGGTAAAATTCCAACTCATGTTTTCTCTGGCTCTATGCCATCTGACGCTTGTCCCCGCAACACCCCCTTCCTCCCCGTCCCTCCCCTCCAGTACTACACAACCAGACCTCCTTCACCAGGATTCAGTTTACCCTTGTGTGCTCAATGGAGGATAGTTTAGATTTATTTTCTCTGATGATTAAGGTTAGCAAACCATCCGGAGATATTTGGTAAAATTTACACAAGAATGCAGTCCTTATTAGCTCTTTTTTAACTCAGTTATTGATATAAAATAAGGAAAAAATTCTCACTGTGTCCCAGCCATCTTTCATTTTCCCAAATGCAGCAGTGCAGCAGCTCTTTTACAGCCTCAGGAATTATACAATTTTTTGCCTGGGAAATGTTCACAGCGCTTTTGGTCTGATTGACTCCCATTCATCCTTCAGATACTGTCTTAAATGGTATGTTATCAGATTGGCCTCTCTGACTTCACATCTACTTCTATTATGGGTTGCTTTGAGTTGGAATTGACTTGAATGCAGTGGGTTTTGGTTTTGGTTTGGTGGTTTTGTAATATGCAGGCTTGTAGCTTTCTCTTTCGGCAGTTATAATTACATATTTAAACATATAACTTTTTAAATGTGTATCTTCCCCAAGAGACTTAAAAAGGCCAAATGGTAGAACCTGGTTTAAATTTGCCAGTCCTGGTGGAGGTTGTGGTTATATCGTGGCTTCTTGAACACCACCTATCACCATGTGGCCTTTGTTGAGAGAAAGGGCAGCTGAGTTGACAGGATGTTCTGTCCAGAAAGTCTTCTGGAGTTCAAGGGTCGTGGAGTCAAAGACCTTGGATGTAGTAACAAATAGAGTTATCCGTATGTCCCTTGCCAAGAGTGCGCTGTAGTATTCATTAATTCCTCTCTGTAGTATTCATTAATTCCTCTCCAGACTTGACGTTGTAGTGGTGTAGCTCTTTGTTGGCGTGGCTTGTGATGATGTACTCTTTCAGGGGTCCCCAAACTGCACTGGTGATCCTGGAGTTACTGCAAGGTATCTTCATGTAGGGCTTGTTGCTGCTGACTGGGCTCAGGTCCCCCAGGTTGAAGCAGCTCACAAAGCAGTCATGGAGAGCATGTCTATGTCACCCCCTAAGTCAGAACCACAGTCGGGACACCAGAATTGGTCTTGAAAAGGGCCAGCTGTTTCCATGTTCACAGTCCCAGGGATGACAGCTATTGTCAGCTGAGCCTGTGAGGACAGATTTGGTGTCTCCTTCAGCATCCACATACCATTGGAGTTCGGTAGGTGCCCAGCCTCCTCCTCTTCATAGATTACCAGGCATTGACTATAGGCTCCTTGTCCACCATAAAGAGGAAGTTTTCCTTGTGGTTGTACTTGATCTCTGTAATAGCTTGTGGCCCTGTGGTAGGATCAGCTTCAAAGTTTTCCTTGTGGTTGTACTTGATCTCTAATAGCTTGTGGCCCTGTGGTAGGATCAGCTTCATTCTGGCAGTGACCTGAGGAAACCCAGGGCTTGAGCAGGACTGGAAGAATGAATTGATAATTCTTTTGTTGCAACTTTAAAAGGAACACCCATATTATGTATTACATTTTATACATTAAATAAGAAAGCTAGGTTTCAAGGCATTAATTGTTCAGTGGTAGAATTCTTGCCTTCAATGATTCCTAACTTGTGCCCTTCAAGTGCATTCACCATGCATTTGTTAGGATAGGCTGTGTGCTGCCATAATGCTGAGCACATTTCAGTGAAGCTTATAGACTAAGATGAGGAAAAATGGTCTGATGATCTGATATGGATCACAGTGGTTTTGATACATCATAGCGATGGCACAGGACCAGACAGTATTTTGTTCTTTGTGCATAGGGTGGCCTTCTGTTAGTGTCAACCAACATAGCAGCTTACAAGTGACTAGCATCAAGTTAACCCATCTTCTTGAACTAATCGAAAGAATCTGAAAAGGACTAACTTGCTCTCCTTTTGCCTTTTCACTTTTAGCTTCTTATCATCTACCATGATCTCTGGGGTACTTTAGAAAGTGGATTATGCCAGACATAGGTTAAAATTTAGCACCTTATCATTTGATCTCCCCTTAGACTCATTTTAGGAGACCTGCTGGTTTGTAGCTAGACATTGGGCTGCGATCCTTTTGGTCAGCAGTTTGAAACCACCAGCTGTTCCATGAAAGAAAGACTGGGCTTTCTACTCCCGTAAACAGTCACTGTCTCGGAAACAAGAGGTTTCTGAGTCAGCATTGACTCGATAGCAGTGAGTTTGGTTTGGTTTGGGTTTTGACCCATCTTAAATTTGTTCTGGTGTTTAATATTCTCGGCTTTCTTTTACATTGAATTTTTTCTCAAGTTTTATTTTGTATGTTTTCTGTATATGTCTTTTTCAGGATAGATAAATCTATAAAGAATAACAGGATTAATAGTTTCTTAGGAGTCTGGCAGGGGAATTTCTTGGGAAATGGGGAGCTAATAATAATTACGGGAGAGAAGAAAATATTCTACAATTGATTGTGGTGATGATTGTACAACTCTTTTTAATATGATTGAACTATTGTGTAATAGGTGATTTTTGTGTCAATAAAACAAAATAAAATTATCTCTGGGGCTTATCATAGCCCTTGGAAACCCTGAGGCTACTTG